TACTTCCTCCCGCTCCTAGACGGCGCGCGTTACGCGCGATTCCTCTACGCGCAATACCCCTTCACGCGCGTGATCCTCGACCCGATCATCCCGCTCGTTCAAGCTTACAACTCCTTCCCGTACGCCGGCCTCATCCTCTTCTTCCTCCTCTATCTCGCCGTCATCCGCAACCAAAACCTCGACCGTTACGTGCGGTACAACGCGATGCAGGCCGTGATTCTCGATATCCTCATGATCCTGCCGTCTCTCATCGAGCGCCTGTTCGCTGGCAACGACGGCATCTCGCTACAGCTGACGATTATTTTCTACAACACCGTGTTTCTGTACCTCTTCGCGTGCTTCGTCTTCGGCGTCGTGTCGTGCCTCCTCGGGAAGACTCCCCGCTTGCCCATCGTCGCGGAAGCCGCCGACGCGCAGGTGCCGTTTTGAGTGACGGCCGCGCGCTGGGGAGGGGGGAGTGCGCGCGAGGGTGCTCGCGGGGTTCCGCCGGGCTTTCCGCTGAGGGATTCGCAGGGTGGTGAGTATGTGCTGTTTACGCGGCGTATATCTTTCACCATTGTCTGCGTCGTGTAGTTTATGTAGAATTGACTAGCCTTCACTCGTTTTCCTTCGCGTTTCTTTACATTGTAGTTCAACGTAGCTACTATTTTACACTAAATTCACTCTTCCACGGCTGCAGCCGTGGCGGTTCCATGGAAAAAGAACAGCAGAGCCGCAACCAGCAGCACAGGGAAATTTACACCACTGAAAATAAACTTGTCAATCGACCGAACTAACCGTTTTGGACGAATTTGCATTTCCCTCATAACCCCCCGACTTCCCCAACCCCACATACCCTCTCCCTCCACCTCCTGCGTCACCGCCATTTTCCTCTCCTTTCCTCAATTCTCACCGCCGTTCCCCTCCATTCCGCTTCTTTCCCCACCATATTTCTCCCCTCGCCCCCTCGCTCACTGCCGTTCGTCTCCCCGATACCCATTAGCCCCCCCTTAACCGCCCCTCGCCTTTCTCCACAACCCCAACCCACTATGCAATTTCCCTACCATCTCCCTCCCTCCCTCGCTGCGTTTTTCCTCCTCTCGCTGCCGCTCCCTCCCTGCTGTTATCATTCCCTCTCTCCCGCTCTCCTCCCCACTCCTCCCCTCCCTTTCCCCAGTTCACCACAATTCCCTCCCCAATCCGTCACTGCCATTTCCCTCTTCGCACCACCATTTTCCCTGCTATCTCATCTGCGTTCCCCACTCACCTGTGTTCCCCTCACACCTCGATAATATATGGGACCCCTCATTAGCACCCTCAAATGGCTTGGACAGTATGTAGCACTGTAACCCTCAATAACCCTTGGCTTCGGGCTCTGTTTGATGGCTTGGGTGCGCTATCCACATCAACTTCATTCTAGTGGTGAAAACCCAATACAGTGCATATCCATGCTGGTGGTCAGGCTAGGTTGGAATCGTCAGCACCAGTTTAATGCACCATTGGTTATCATGGCTTATTGCAACACCTCCATCTGCTACCACCACAAGGTGTTTTGTTTCCAATCCAATCTGAACCAAAGAATTGCTTGGGGGCACACACACTTGTTGCAGGGAGACCAAATCGAGAGATTGCAGTGTTGTTCTCATTACAGCTGCGAATAAAATATGCTGGATATATGTTTTGGGACTTGTCGTGTACCATAAATTAAATGGAATACAGTGTTTGCTGCTTTCCATGCATTGGGTGGGAAGAGCTTCTGGAAGAGTGTACAAAAGCAAATGAAATAGGGTGATTGTATCGATTGTCCCGCATGACGAAAGTGGCTCATTTCTGGCTAATCCTGGAATTCTATCTGGGCTCGAAGCGTCCCGACCAAATTCACTGTGAGCGCCGATGTTTGTTTCCTGTCTGGTGGGGCATGCACAGACACCTGAACTGAATTGAAGGAAAGCTCTACCGTGATTCGTGGACATGTTCTTCACAGTCAACCGTACCGTACCGTAGCTGTAATTCGTAACCACCTCAGGTGAGGATTTTCCCCTGATAGCTTCCGTTCATCCCGCTGCTTATCACCCTGGCAGAACACGACGAACCGCTGCTGATTTTTTTCCGTTCTCGGTGTTGTCGCACCGCTGCTGGTGGCGGAGGGGGGATTCCTGGGAAGCGGGAGTGTGCTTCAGCGGATTCCGAAACGCCACGCCTGTGCAACGAGTGGCGCTCATTCATTCCTCTCCCCTTCTGCGAAGGTCGCTGAATTCATTTCGCCAACTTTGCCTGCGCCTGGCTCGGGTGAATCTGAGCAGCCACGCGTCGCATGTCGGTTCTTGATTTCTCCTGATTGCACTGGTTCTTCTCGTCTTATTTGCCTCCACCTCGGGCAAATATGCCATGCCATGCCATGTCATGGGATTTCTGTTCACACAAGGGCACAGCCTTTCCGCACTGTGGCGTCGCGTCGCCCTCACGCATGTCGTCTCATCAGTGGCAATTCTGTGCACCACATCAACGCAGCACAGAACGCTATTTTCAACAAGCACACATGCAGCAGCACCAATCTTCCACTCGCAAGACAAGACATAAATCCCAACTTCAAACCTTATAGCTGATTATTCAACCCCAGCTGCAAACCTCCACAGGCTGAATTTCTACCACACCGAGAGAGTGTCTGACCCACAAGCAACAAGCCTTTCCAGCCCAAGCCTCAACACGCACCAGCGCTGTTATTGGAGCCCTCTGTGACCCTGCGACCGTTTACTTTTCTCGCAGCGTGGTTTTCCTACGGCAACATCCGCTCCTCCCGCATAACCCACGCCTCTCGTGAAGCGATGTTTCACAGCCTCGCCTGATGCCTCCGCCACGCAGCCCCCCGTTCATTCTTCGGTGCAGCGCCAGACCAAGTTGTTAACGCTTAGCGAAGCAGCCTCCTGCTTCGTATTGTGCACTTGAGACAGGTCACATGCACCTTGCAGCAGACTCGCCGTGAAGCATACTTGAAAGAGACAGTCAACACTTAGCCTACATCATCTATCCGCCTCGGGAACCAGGTCACTCGGACTATCGCATCGGCCTTTCGGACCCTAGTGCCAGCGCACTACGCGGAAACCATATCAACCGGATTAATCGCCGTGAATTGCGGGCAGTCATGGAGAGCGCGCGGAAGTGCGTACGGTGGGAGATGGGGTCGCCGCTGTGCGTGCGATCGCCCGTTTCGTCGTTCACAGCAGGCGCTTTCAGCGACGGCAAATCGCGATCCAAGGTAAAAGCATTTCCTTTTGACCCGACTCTAACTTACTCGTAATAATGCACATTTGAGAGAAGGCGGGATCATGGTTTCCCGTGTGCGATGGCCGCATCTGCGCAACGATACCCGACGATTCGGTAGCGAGTCGTTACGCAGACCCGTTTTCGTCACGAGGTCGCACATTGACGTCACGCGGGACACGGTCGCGGATATGTACTCGCTTCTTTAGAGCAAAGCGGCTGTGGCACTGAATGGAGGCACATAGCCGAGGGAGTGCGGGCTGTAAAGCAAAAAAGTAGGGAGGCTGTAGCAGACGCATTGCGGCGGTTGTAGCAGATGGGGAGCAGCGCAGCCATCGCTGATAGAGAGAGCGATGGTTTGCTCGAGACCAGGTGTAGTTCTGCTAGCGGGCAGGCTTAGGTTCGACGTGATCATCCCTGCCGAGCCTGGTTGTGCCGAGGCTGGCCGTGCCGAGGTTGGCCGTGCCGAGGGGGGATGGGTGGGCAGGTGGTCAGCAGCGGAAGGGCGACGCAACAGGCTGTAGGCATTCAGACGAGAAGAATCGGGAAGGAGTTAGGATCAAGAGAGACATTCCAGTTAGAGCTCGCTAAATCAGACCTGAAGCCAGGCGGACCCTTGCACCAAGCCTTTTTTGTTTTATTATTGAGGCTCCTCAACTATGACCCTCATCGCCGCCCATTTTATCCGTTAGCCACCTCTAATCTCCCCCCCTCCCCACTCTCACCCCGCCCTCTTCCCGTCCCCCCCGCCTAAATCCCATCAGGCCTTCTCATCCCGAGTACTATCCACAGCGCGACTCGTCCTCGTCTTTATTCTCCTCGTCTTCTTCCTCTCGACGCTATGCGCCACCATCGGCGTGCCTAAAATCGATCTATCGGAGCCGGTCGTTCTGATGCGGCGCGGCGACCGCCGGCTAGTCGTCAAATACACTCCTAACTCGGCGGACGACGCTGCGACGCGCGCGATCGTGGATCCCGTCGCCGACCTGTCGCACCCGCGCCTCGCCAAGAGACGAGCGCTCATGCGATACCTGAACGAGGACCAATAACAGGAGAGGAGGGAGGTGGAGCATCTGGAGGGAGAAGGGAGGTTTTTACAGGGGGGTGCATCTAGAGGGGAGGGGAGCAAGGGAGGTGAGCTGTGGTTGGGTCAAGGCGAGCGCTCATGAGATAGTGAAACGTGGACCAATGGCGAGGGCGAAGGTGGTGGCATCTACCTTCACCAGCCGCCGCGAGGGAGAATATGCCTCCCTCCACCGTGGAGGGGGGCGGATGGTGTGGATGTGCAGGGTGTGTGAGGCATCTACTATGCTAATGGATTGGATATGTTAAGGTTAGGAGTGAGACGTCTCTCACAGACAGACCGCCAGACATGCTTGTAGTAGGCATGGCAGATACTACGGTAGTAGGAGACAGTGTACCATGTAAAAGATGTAACCAGATGTATATTACAGTATTAGACTAGCTGATGCAACCCTTACCGGAAAATTCCAGTTCATTTTAAATATATTGCCACAAATGGACCAGCTTGTATCTGGTCATACCAGTAACACAACTCACCATGGATGAACAGTAACTTCGGAGTTATACTGGTATTACTTCAACATCACATAAATTACTACTCCTAGGCTGATGCTGTCCTGCCTGCCACTGATTGGCTCAGGCACATGACTGCAAGCATGGCAGGTGACAAATCAAAGCAGTACGGCTTGACGTCACATGGCCTGGCCTGGCACGCCTTGGTTAGCATGGCATGACAATCAGGCTGTGCTGACGGCTGCAGGTCTGGCCGAAGCTGTCAGCGAGGCTCGGATGACGAGCAGGCGGTCATCATGTCCCCAGGGAATAAGTTGGTCCTTGTTGGAGGGGTTCAGGTGCCACTCCCCCCGGTGCCGATACGCTATCACCAACTCCTCACTCATGCGCACCCGCGCCTGGTGGTGGGGGGAGAGGAGGGGGGTGGGTCGGGCGGGGAGGAGTTGGGTTGATGAAGGGGAGGAAGGGGGGAACTTCGCTGGGGCTGGGAGGGAAAATGGGGGGAAACGAGGCATGGAGCATGCAGGGGGAAGAAAAGCTTTTACCAGCCGCTCACCCTAACAGTTTCACATACATAATCACACCTGTTCCTCCCTGCAATCACACCTGCATCTCCCAGAGGTTGAAGATGCCTGCCTCGTGCTCCCCGATAAACTCGTCTGCTCGCCGCACCGCCATGCGATTCCTCTCCGACCCGATTATCTCGTCCAACACCGTGCCCACATCTGGGATGTATGGGGGTTTGTTATGGAAGCAGAGAGGGGGAGGGGGAGGGGAGGGTGGGGGGGGGGGAGGATTTGATAGATGTGATTCTCGTCTGCTCGCCGCACCGCCATGCGGTTCCTCTCCGACCCGATTATCTCGTCCAATACCGTTCCAACATCTGGCAGTGGTGGATACGACAAGAAAGAGTGGGGGGGAAGGGGAGGAAGGGAATGGGGAGGAGGGGTGTGTGGAGAGGTACGGGATGCATAGGGCTTTAATATGGAAGCAGAAGGGGGTAGGGGGAGGGGAAGGTGGGAGGGTGGTTTGATGAATGTGGGCCTTGGACACATTTTCTTCACGTGTGCTCGCTGCTCGCCGCACTGCCATGCGATTCCTCTCCGACCCGATTATCTCGTCCAACACCGTGCCCACATCTGGGGGTCGGAGGGGTTTGAGTGCGTGCAGGAGAGGAGGTAGGAGGGGAGGGTGGTTTGATGAATGCGTTCCACTCCAACCAAATTATCTCGTCCAATACCGTGCCCACATCTGGCGGGGAGGACACCGAGAGAGGAAAAGGGAATTGGGGAGGGGGAGGGCGAGGGGAATGCGGGGTCTTATCCCATACTCGCTGTGGCGCGGCACAATAGAGGATGGTTGACAGAGATTGATTTTGGGCAAGAAAATCCAAGAGTTCTGAGGGGCACACAGCGCACATGCCTCTCCACCTGCCAAGGCCTGAGAGTGCTTGCTCACCCGTACCCCAGCTAGTCTCACCCGTACCCCAGCTAGTCTCACCCGTACCCCAGCTAGTCTCACCCGTACCCCAGCTAGTCTCACCCGTACCCCAGCTAGTCTCACCCGTACCCCAGCTAGTCTCACCCGTACCCCAGCTAGTCTCACCCGTACCCCAGCTAGTCTCACCCGTACCCCAGCTAGTCTCACCCGTACCCCAGCTAGTCTCACCCGTACCCCAGCTAGTCTCACCCGTACCCCAGCTAGTCTCACCCGTACCCCAGCTAGTCTCACCCGTACCCCAGCTAGTCTCACCCGTACCCCAGCTAGTCTCACCCGTACCCCAGCTAGTCTCACCCGTACCCCAGCTAGTCTCACCCGTACCCCAGCTAGTCTCACCCGTACCCCAGCTAGTCTCACCCGTACCCCAGCTAGTCTCACCCGTACCCAGCTAGTCTCACCCGTAGCCCAGCTAGTCTCACCCGTACCCCAGCTAGTCTCACCCGTACCCCAGCTAGTCTCACCCGTACCCCAGCTAGTCTCACCCGTACCCCAGCTAGTCTCACCCGTACCCCAGCTAGTCTCACCCGTCCGTAACCCAGCCAGCTAGTCTCACCCGTCCATAACCCAGCCAGCTAGTCTCACCCGGGTCGTGTGTGATCTGTGCCAGCACTTGCGCCTCCAGGTGCTCGGGGCACACAGCCCCGTCCAGCGCATACCTCTCCACCTCTAGAGCAAGATATAAAAGGGCCTGCTTCCCACATGGTTGAAGTAACGAAACAAAACTAACGCAGCACTCACCCCTGCCTGCCCCATCTCACCCGGGTCGTGTGTGATCTGCGCCAGCACTTGAGCCTCCAGGTGCTCGGGACACACAGCTCCATCCAGTGCATGCCGTTCCACCTGCCTCGCCACGTCCCTCTCACTCGCCGGCACCTCTGCCACTATTGCCGCCTCTTGTGCTCTCCCCCTGGCCGCCTGCAAGAGAAAGCAGGGGCAGACAGTGGGGAGAGATCGCAGAGGGAGAGAAAACAGTGGGACCCTAGAAGCTAAACCCTGAACCTGAAACCTTGAGCCCTCTGCCTGTTTGTGGCTGAATAACAGCCGCTTGCCCTGCCGTGTCGACATGAAGAATTGGTACTGCGCCTCCCCTCCGCATTGGAGAGAATTGATTTGATTACCGCCTCCCCTCTGCCTCTCCAATGCATGCCCCTCGTGTCGCAGACATGAGCAGACATGAGCAGACATGAGCAGACATGAGCAGTAAAGGAGGAGGTGAGATACAGAGTCACCTTTGGTTTCCTAACGAGTCTCGGAAATACATTGCACCGGGAGAGAAAAGCACCTGGATGCACCTGTAAAGACACCTGATAAGCACCTGAATGCTCCTGATAAGCAGCGCGGTCACTGTAGCCTGTGAGCTGTCCACCATGCCAGCATCCTCCTCCTCGTCCTCCCCGTTCTCCCCCCCGTTGACTTGCGTTGACTGCAGCAGAATCACCGAGTCGACGGTCTCAAGAGGCAGCGACTCCATCACCTCCCGGTCTGCTGGGCTGCCACGCTCTGGTGTGTGGGGGGTGGATGGAATGGGAAGGAAAAGACGGAGTGGGGGTGGCGGCTGGGGTTTGAGAGGGCATGTCGACTTGCATTGACTGCAGCAGAATCACCGAGTCGACGGTCTCAGGAGGCAGCGATTCTAACACCTCCCTGTCTGCTGGGCTGCCACGCTCTGGTGTGGGGGGGGGGGGGGGTGGGATGGGAAGTGTTGGGAGACACGTTGACTTGCGTTGACTGCAGCAGAATCACCGAGTCAACTGTTACTAGGGGTAGCGACTCTAACACCTCCCTGTCTGCTGGGCTGCCACGCTCTAAAAAAGGGGGAGGATGGGAGGAGGGGTGAGGAAGGGAGAGAGTGGGAATGGGAGTTAGGTGGGCGCTGGGGCGTGTTTTGGGGTGTTGGGGAGAGGAGGGAGGAGAAGGGATGAGAGGGGAAGAAGCGAGGGAGGGTGTTGGGCCACTGCGCTCTATGTGTGTGAGTGGTGGAGAGAGGGTGGGGTTTCAAGTGGAAGGGAAGAGGAAGGGAACGAGCTGGGTGGATAGGCCGTGCTGACTTGCATTGAACGCAGTAGTAGAGCCACCTTCATGCCCCCGACCCAACTCCCCGACCCAACTCCCCGACCCAACTCCCTGCCCCCACTCCCTGCCCCCACCTCGCTGCCCTCACCTCACCTGCCTGCAAGCAGCACTCACTGATGCGAATAGGAAGCTTTTTGTGCCTGCGAATGTTCCCCAGCAGCAGCTCGTCTGTTGGGGAGATGTGAGTCGCCACCACCGTCACCTCACTGCCTTGTGCCAGTATCGAGGGCAACAGCTCCACCAGCTGCTTTGCTTCCGGCCGCCATCCGCATATAAGCACATGCTGCTTGCCACCCACGCTGCTGCTGCTCGTGCCACGTGGCGCTTTCTGAGTGGCTGCCGGGACAGCTGCAGCAGTGAGCTCGGACGGCGGGGGCGGCAGGCGACTTGGCCCCGGGCGGTAGCTGTTGCGGTCCGCTGCTATCACTAGGAGCTTGTCTCCGGGCTGACAAAAGGGTGACGGGTTGGGGGGTTTGGGGGTTGGGGGTCGAAGGGGGAGGAGGAGGAAGGGGACGGCACATCATGAGTGCAGCAGGCGGCTGGGTCCAGGCCAGTAGCTGTTGCGATCCGCTGCAATCACTAGGAGCTTGTCTCCGGGCTGATGTAGTGGAAGAAATGGGAGAGGAGAAATCACAGGGGGAAAGACGGAGAAGACGTGGAGGGGAGAGCAGTGAGCAATGGAGTGTGTTGTGGCTGGGCCCGGGGCGGTAGCTGTTGCGATCACCAGGAGCTTGTCTTGTCCCCGGGCTGACAATGAGGGGAGGTACGGGGTGGGGTGGGGATGGAGGAGGGTTGAGGGGGCGAACGGAGTATCATGTGGGTCCAGTCCAGGGCGGTAGCTGTTGAGGGTGGGGTTGAGACATACCAAGAGATGGGGTGTGGGAAAGGAAGCGGCTGGATGGAAGGAGGGAGAACTGGAGGGAGGGGAAGGGAAGGGAGGAACTAAGAGGAATACAGCAACGGTGAATGCTGCGAGACATAATGGCCTGGAAAAGTCCCAACCCTACTTCAATGTGAGGAGTGACTTTTGAGATGTCTCAAGACCAAATAGCCCATCAGCAACATACCCCAATGAGCGTCCAGCTGGGCGGGTTCACGAGCACCTCGCCCATTGTGCTGCCGGCACTGGAAGCATCGGGTGTGCTGTGTTGCCTGGGGGCCTTCATGAGCCCACAGGGGGATGAGCCATGAGCAGCGCACCTCCACGAGCCTGTCCTGGAGGGACCAGACCACCTGTCAGCGTTCCTGTATGGGAGAACCCTGGAAAAGCCATAGGCTCACCTCTATGAGCGTACCTCGCCCATAGGGCTGCCAGCCAATGTGCGCCCCACACCACCAAGTGCAGTAGCGGCAGCAGCATGCGGGGCATATGGTGCCCTAGCTGTGAGCGTACCTCTATGAGCGTACCTCTATGAGCGTCCAGCTGGGCGGGTTCACGAGCACCTCGCCCATAGAGCTGCCGGCAGCACCGGAAGCATCGGGTGCGGTGTGCTGCTTGGGAGCCTTCATGAGCCCACAGGGGGTGGCGTTGTCAAACAGAAACAGCGCATCGCCAAACGTGCGCCCCACCAGCTCTGGCCTGTGGGGACGTGAATGGAAGGTCATGTGTAGGCGAATGGGAAGGGAAGGTGTGCGGATGGGATGGGTGTGAGCAGGGCAGGCATCCATGCATGCATGCATGGGACCACAGGGGGTGGCGTTGTCAAACAGGAAGAGCGCATCTCCAAACGTGCGCCCCACTAGCTCCGGCCTGTGGGGGTGTGGTGGAGAGGAGGAGTGAGGGGAGGATGGAGAGGCATGGAGGGGATGAAGTAAAGCAGGGCGCAGAGCATGCCACACACGTCCCCAGAACCACCACTCACCACTCTTTGAAGTAGAACTCGTCATTCTCAAAGTCAAGCAGGTCAGCAGTGACGTCAGCAGTGACGTCAGCAGTGCCGCGGTGCACAGCAGCGGACAGCAGCGAGAGGTTCTCCGCCGCCACCGGCACCAGCCGCCTCCTGCGCCCCCTCGTGCGCCCGTTCCTGCTACGTGCCACCCACCGTTGCTGCTGCTGTTGGTGCTGGTGGTGATGCTGCTGCTACCGCTCGCATCATCCTTCAGAACGAGCATGCACTCACCACTACTCGAATGCAACACTCACCACTCTTTGAAGTAGAATTCGTCGTTCTCAAAGTCAAGCAGGTCGGCAGTGACGTCAGCGGTGCCGCGGTGCACAGCAGCGGACAGCAGCGTGCGCAGCGAGAGGTTCTCCGCCGCCACCGGCACCAGCCGCCTCCTCCTCACGCGCTGGGAGGAGGACGCGGTGCTACTGGGCGGTGCTTGGGCAGTGGTGGTGGTGGTGGACGGGGAGGGGGCGAGGAGGGTGCGGTGGAGGCGCTGCAGCAGGCGCACGTTGGAGAGTGAAGAGAGCTCTGCGATGATGTCAGCGCTGATGTCTGGCCTATTGGCGAGCGCCAGACTGGCTTGGATCACCTGAATGAGGGGTGGTGGGAGGGGTGGGATGTATGGGATTCGTGGGAGGGATGTGGCAGGTGCTAGGGCTGGGAATTTCAGTGATGATGTAAACACAGTTGGTGAGCACCAGGCTGGCTTGGATTATCTGCAGGGAGGGTGTGAGGAGTGGGAAGGATAGCGTTGATGGGAGAGTCAAGCAATGCCCGGTAGGCTATTCACATATCCAGTCACACGATGCCATGCCATGGCAGCACAGCACCTCACCAAACAGCAACAGACTACAGTGGACTCACAAAGGCGTCGGCTTGGGAGGGGTCGGAGACGGGGGGGGAGAGCAGCACAATGGAGCGCGCAGCGTCAGCAGCACAGCGCGCCAAGTCCTCCGAGTGGAAGGGCGAGCCGGTGCGCGTCACAATCTGAGGGAGCAGCTCATAGGAAACGGTATGCACATGGGAGGCAAGGAGATGGAAGGGAGATCAGTGCCACAATGAGAGATCTGGCGCCAGGTGGAATGGAAGGGCCACCGCTCTCAGGTACACCCTATTGACCCGCTTGACCCGCTTGACTCGCTTGCCTTTTCTTCCTTTCTTCTTCTATTCCTCTCTCACGCGCCCTTGGCCCCCACCAGCACAACCACCCTTTGGTGCCCACTAATGGCTCTGTTGCCTCTCTTGTCTCTCACCTGCCCGCTTCCAGCAGCGCACTATCCATCTCCTCCTAACCCTTGCTGTCCGCCAGCACCACCATCCTCAGGTTAAGCACCCCCTATCCAGTCCCTTGACTCCATTGAGTCGCCTGACTCTCACCTGTCCGCCGCCTGCTTTCTGTCGCTCGCTTTTAGGAATGGCATCCAGGAGTGCGCTGTCCATCTCCTCCTTGCCCTTGCCGCCTGCCAGCACCACCACTGCGCGACTGCCGTCCGCCCCCACCAGCTGCTGCACCAGAGGAATGGTGCGTGGGGTCCAGCCTGGGAGAAGGGGTGGAGGGTACGAAGGAAAGAGAGGAGCGAGCGAGGGTGTGGGTGGGCGAGAGGGAGAAGGGGAAAGTGGGGGGAATGAGTACCATTGATGGTTGCACAGCACAGCACAGCACAGCACAGCACAGCACAGCACAGCACAGCACAGCACAGCACAGCACAGCACAGCACAGCACAGCACCACCACTGCCCGACTGCCATCCGCCCCCACCAGCTGCTGCACCAGCGGGATGGTGTGCGGGGTCCAGCCTGAGAGGGGGCCCCTTGCCCTTGCTCCATGACGGCCCCTTGCCCTTGCTCCATGACGGCCCCTTGCCCTTGCTCCATGACGGCCCCTTGCCCTTGCTCCATGACGGCCCCTTGCCCTTGCTCCATGACGGCCCCTTGCCCTTGCTCCATGACGGCCCCTTGCCCTTGCTCCATGACGGCCCCTTGCCCTTGCTCCATGACGGCCCCTTGCCCTTGCTCCATGACGGCCCCTTGCCCTTGCTCCATGACGGCCCCTTGCCCTTGCTCCATGACGGCCCCTTGCCCTTGTTCGGATAGTCCACGGTCCACCTGCTCTGTCAGCCTCTGTGCTTCTGTGCTTTCCACCATCTATAGATGCACTCGTTGCTACAGGTATACAAGCACTGCGCTGCTAGTCATCCCAATCACTCACCCACGACCAGCACGTGCCCGCGCTCCATGACGGGCCCCTTGCCCTTGTTCAGATCGTCCACTTGCTTCGCCACGCCATCAGTCGCCAGACCCACCAGCAGCGCCAGCAACAGCAACCCCTTGATCGTCAGCACCACTGACAGCACCCGCTTCCAAATTGAGTCCTGAGGGGTGGTGGCAGGAGATTGCAGGGCAGGGGATGTGAAGAGGGAGGGTGGCATTGGGAAGGTTACTGCTGCCAGGCCCGCTACTGAAGGAAGCAGCAGCAGAAGCAGCCAGACAGGGTGCTCATCTAGGCCATTGCAATGCTCTCTGTGAAATAGGTGGGCAGGCAGCCAGGCAGGCTGGGGTTGCAGGCAGAAAAACAAGTCCACTTCACTCCACTCCACTCCACTCCACTCCACTCCACTCCGCTCACCCAAATTCACCTGAGCGCCCTGGTGGCCGGGATCTGACAGCATGGTCCATCGACGAGACCCACACGGCTCATCTAGGTCATTGCCATGCACACTGTGTGAAAAAGGCAGGCAGGCAGGCACACATGCAGGTTGGGGTGCAGCCTGCAGGCATGAAAGCAACCCCTTTCCATCCCTCTCCACACTTCTCCACCTCACTGGCTCACCTGAGCGCCCTGCTGGCCCGGGTCTGACAGCATGGTCCACGAGACCCACACAGCCTCGCCAAATGGCACGTCCTCATTGGTCGCCTTGGCCGCAGCGATAAAGGCTCCTGCTCCCAGCAGCATGAGGGCCACCCAGAGGACAGAGAGCAGCAGGAGCTGGGGGAAAAGGGGGGGAGAGAGCGGGGGAAAGGAAATATGATTGGGGTGGCTCAAACATTTGTGAACTTGAAGGTTCCCAGGAACATGAGTGCCACCCAAAGGCACCCGCGTGGACCAAGGTGCGCACGTGGACCAAGGCGCCTTTTAGAGGAAAGTCGCCTCTTAGAGGAGAAGCGCCGCTTAGAGGAGAAGCGCCTGCCTCTTAGAGGACAGGCAACTCTGAGAGAGAAGCGCCTGTATCTTAGAGGAGAGGCTCCTCTAAGAGGAGTGGCGCCTCTTAGAGGAGACAACACACCAAGGCACAACACACCCAGGGAAGAAAGGGAAACCTTCCCGTTGTCATTTGCCTTGCCTCACCTTCCCCGAGGGTTCAGTGGTGAGGAAGAAGTCCATGGCGTAGAGGCTTTGTCTCTAATGAGACCGTCGTGCCCAGCAGTGCAGTGCGGTGCAGAAGCAAAGCTTTCCCTTTGAAGAATTCTCATTCATCTGCTCGCCTCACCTTCCCAGAAGGTTCAGTGGTGAGAAAGAGGTCGATGGCATAGAGGGCCTTGTCTGTGATGCCTGCTCGCTGCTGGGGTGACTTGAGCGCCGCTGGACTGGCCGTGCCGGGTGGGGGCGGGGTCAGCACGATCTGAGATGGAGGGAGAGAGATTCAGGGAATGGGCGGGAGGGCAAGGGGGTGAGTGTACGTGAGGAGAAGGATTGAAAGCGGGTGATCCTTATGGGGGCGATCCTTATGGGGGCGATCCTTATGGGGGCGATGCTTATGGGGGCGATCCTTATGGGGGCGATCCTTATGGGGGCGATCCTCATGGGGGCGATCCTTATCGGGGCGATGCTTATGGGGGCGATGCTTATGGGGGCGATCCTTATGGGGGCGATCCTTATGGGGGCGATCCTTATGGGGGCGACCCTCATGGGGGCGACCCTCATGGGGGCGACCCTCATGGGCGCGATCCTCATGGGGACGATCCTCATGGGGACGATCCTCATGGGGATGATCCTCATGGGGGCGATCCTCATGGGGGCGATCCTCATGGGGGCGATCCTCATGGGGGCGATCCTCATGGGGGCGATCCTCATGGGGGCGATCCTCATGGGGGCGATCCTCATGGGGGCGATCCTCATGGGGGCGATCCTCATGGGAGCGATCCCCATGGGGGCGATCCTCATGGGGGCGATCCTCATGGGGGCGATCCTCATGGGGGCGATCCTCATGGGGGCGATCCTCATGGGGGCGATCCTCATGGGGGTGATCCTCATGGGGACGATCCTCATGGGGGCGATCATCATGGGGGCGATCCTTATGGGGGCGATCCTTATGGGGGTGATCCTTATGGGGGTGATGCTTATGGGGGTGATGCTTATGGGGGTGATCCTTATGGGGGTGATCCTTACGGGGGTGATCCTTATGGGGGTGATCCTTATGGGGGTGATGCTTATGGGGGTGATGCTTATGGGGGTGATCCTTATGGGGGTGATCCTTAAGGAGGTGATCCTTATGGGGGTGATGCTTATGGGGGTGATCCTTATGGGGGTGATCCTTATGGGGGCGATCCTTATGGGGGCGATCCTTATGGGGGCGATCCTTATGGGGGCGACCCTCATGGGGGCGACCCTCATGGGGGCGACCCTCATGGGCGCGATCCTCATGGGGACGATCCTCATGGGGACGATCCTCATGGGGATGATCCTCATGGGGGCGATCCTCATGGGGGCGATCCTCATGGGGGCGATCCTCATGGGGGCGATCCTCATGGGGGCGATCCTCATGGGGGCGATCCTCATGGGGGCGATCCTCATGGGGGCGATCCTCATGGGGGCGATCCTCATGGGGGCGATCCTCATGGGGGCGATCCTCATGGGAGCGATCCCCATGGGGGCGATCCTCATGGGGGCGATCCTCATGGGGGCGATCCTCATGGGGGCGATCCTCATGGGGGCGATCCTCATGGGGGCGATCCTCATGGGGGTGATCCTCATGGGGACGATCCTCATGGGGGCGATCATCATGGGGGCGATCCTTATGGGGGCGATCCTTATGGGGGTGATCCTTATGGGGGTGATGCTTATGGGGGTGATGCTTATGGGGGTGATCCTTATGGGGGTGATCCTTACGGGGGTGATCCTTATGGGGGTGATCCTTATGGGGGTGATGCTTATGGGGGTGATGCTTATGGGGGTGATCCTTATGGGGGTGATCCTTAAGGAGGTGATCCTTATGGGGGTGATGCTTATGGGGGTGATCCTTATGGGGGTGATCCTTATGGGGGTGATCCTTATGGGGGTGATGCGGAGATAACTAGTGCAACGGGAGCTAGACTACGGGCTAGGCACGGGGCAAGAGTGATCGTAGCGTTCGTTCGTTCCTTAGTCGTTTCAAAGTGCTAACACTACTTGCTAGTTCACCGGGAAAATTGGCAAGAGTTTCACTAGGAAAGCATAACAAAAGCTCAAAATGATTGCATCAACATTGACAACACAGACTACATCACATCTAGCAAGGTTGCTGGTGGACTGCCAGCGCAGCACGGTCGACCGCGTGCCAGCACGACTTGGTCGACCGCGCTCTAACAGAGCAGAGTCGCGGCTTGCCAACGTTGCCCATCCGCGGTGTGCCAATGGTTCAGGAAGTCGGCTGCACAGCGATGCATCCGCGGGACAGCGGTGTACCAGCTTCGCAGGTGCGTGCAGCTGGTTGGTGCCCAACTTCCCGTCACATGCCTGGCGCAGATACTCCACGCATGACGGCGCCCACCAGCAACGTCGACCTCGGGATACCACCCCCGAGATCGTACTCGCAGAAAACACCCCCGGCGACATTCGCGCGCATCGCCAGAGTATCCTGGTTGACAGGGTATTTCGCGGTCCTCCCGCGATTTCGCGGCCACCGCGGTCCTCCCGCGATTTCGCGGCCATCGCGGTCCTCCCGCGATTTCGTTGCAACTGCGGTCCCCCGTGGTTTCGCGGCTCCCACGGTCCTCAGTGGTTTCGCGGCTCCCACGGTCGGCTCCGCCCAAGCGAGGACGGTGCCAAACACAACTCCCGTTAACACTCCCCTGCCGCGTTCACGCTTGGGCACTCCCCCCCCGGCTCACACGGCAGTACTGTTTGGAGAATAGCCCATCGGCGTGCACACAACGCACAGCACGTCGATCACCGCACCAGCCATGTAAAAGGGCATGGCACCTACTGCTGCACGTCGTTGTCACTGTCGCCCACATCGGCCAGGCGCACTTGGCCGATTGCAACGGAGCACCGGTTAAAGGTCGGGTAGTGCAGCGCCTTTGTCAGGAAGTCGGCTGGCTGCTCAGCGGTCGGGATGTACTTCAGCGAAAACTTCCCGCGCTTCACCATGTGCTGCAACCAGGCCTGTCGCCACTCCATGTGCTTGAGGTTGCCCGTCAACTCCATGCTCTCGCCGACCGTGATAGCCGACTTGTTATCCACCCTGAGGACAGTCGGCTTCCCAGCGTCCAGCCGCTGGAACTCCGCGAGGAGGAAGTGAAGGCGACGTCCCTCGGTCGACCACAACGTCGCGGACTTGATGCGCTGACTCGACCAGGAGATCGTGGCCCCTCCGTAGACAAACACGTAGCCGCCCATGCTCATCCGGTTTTGCTTGTCGCCCGCATCGTCGGCGTCCATGTAGCCGATCAACTCCAGTGACTCCAGACCACCGCCGAACTCCAGGGCGGTGTCTCGCGTGTTGGCGAGGTAAGCGAGGCAGCGGTCGACCTCGCGCCAGTGCTGATCGCTCCTCACCGCGAGGCCGCTCCCCAGCTTGCTGCACGCGAATGCGATGTCCGGCCTTGTCATCGTTGCCGCGAACTGCAGCGAGCCGACCTTCTGTCTGTACTCCTCCTCCTCGCGCTCCTGCGCCTCCTCGTCATCGAATGTCTGCTCCGCGTAGGCGGCGACGGAGACCGGCGTCTTCGGAGTGCGCCCGATCTGCTCCTCGTCGATGAAGCGCCTGCGCAGCTTGTCGGCGTAGCCCTGCTGGTGCAGCCACAATTTTCGCGCCGGCCTATCGCGCACGATCTCCAAGCCGAGATACTTCTGCACCAGCGAAATTTCGCGCAGCTCGAAGGCGGCCTCCAACAGCTCCTTCAGCATCGCGGTGCTGCTGCTCGCGGCGAGAAGGTCGTCGACGTAGACCAGCACCCAGTAGGTCACCTTATCGTCGCCGACCTTGAAGTACAGAGCCTCGTCGACTTGGCTCTTCTTCCACCCGGCGCCAACCAACACGTCGTTGAGAGCCGTAAACCACAGCAGCGGCGACTGCTTCAGCCCATAGAGGCTCTTCAGTAGCAGTTTGCACACCCGGCCGGTCCCGTCGTTGAAGTGGTCCGGCTGGTACATGTACAGCACGCGGTCGGGCTTGCTTTGCAAAAAGGCGTTCTTCATGTCCAGCTGCATCAGGTTGAGGTCGAGAACGGCGACGATGCTGAGGAAAATCCTCAGCGTGGCGTAACTGCTCGTCGTAGTCAGCGCCATACACTTTCGTGAAGCCTTTCACGACCAGCCTCGCCTTTTCGCGCTCGACAGTGTCATCGATGCGGTACTTCGTTGTCAGCACCCACCGGTTCTTCATTATGTTCATTCCTGCCGGGCGTTCAACCAGCTCCCAAGTGCCCATGTTGATGAGGCTACGAATCTCCTCCTGCATGGCGGCCTTCACCGCCGAGCCCTTCCAGCTCGCCAACGCCTCTTTCACCGTCATGGTTGAAATGTCCCAACAGTGTTTGGAATCGGCGTGAATGTCGAGGTGGAGCTCCGAAAACTCCTCATCGTCCTCGGCGTCATCGTACGCCAGGTCGTCGTCGTCCACATTGTACACCATGGTGAAGGCAGCGGGGGCAAAGAAGTCGGGTGGCCTCCGAATTCGGCCCGACTTCCGAGGTCCGGGCTGCACCTCCACCACGTCGCTCGATGTGCGTTCATCGAACTGCTCCCCTGTCGTCCGCTCCTCTGAAGCGAGCTCCGCGTTCGACGGTTCCTCTGAAACGCGCTTCCCGTTCGACGGCTCCCCTATCGACGGCTTCTCTGAAACGCGCTTCCCGTTCAAAAGCTCCCCTGCCAACTGCTCCGCGGTCGGCTTCGCTGTTGCATGTTCCCCTGTCTGCTGCCTGCTAGCCGCGGGCTCCTCCGCGGTCTCCTCCGCGGACGGCGTGGCGATCTCCTCCGCGGTTTCCTCCGCGGGCTCCTTCGCGGGTTCCTCCGGGGTGTCTTTCACGGGTTCCTCCGCGGTGTCCTTCGCGGTTCCCTTCGCGGTCTCCCTCGCGGTTTTCTTCGCGGTCTCCTCCGCGGTTCTCTTCTCCGCGACTGGCTGGGCGTCACGTCGGCCACCGGCGATGCTCTTGGCCGGCGCCACAGGCGACGCCCCACGGCTCCCCTCATCGCCGGAGGCCGACACCAGAGTCAGGCCATGCAGTTCGACGGGAAGGGAATGGGAAGAAGGGGCAGGAGATGGCGAGGCAAGGGTGACCGCGACATCCTCATCAGCCCGCTCACCGACCTCGACGAGCAGAGGAAGCGTCGCCGTCGAGGTGTCCGTCGGCGGGTTGGCCCGCGTCCGCCCCGATGCAGGCCCGAGGTCCGATTTCCACACGTCCAGCGACAGAGTTTCGTAGAACACCACGTCTGACGTGGTGACCACCCGGTTGGCGGTGATGTCGAGGAGCTCCCAGCCTTTGCTCTCCTCCGACACGCCGAGGTGAAGGCCCCACTGGACCTTCGGCTTCAGCTTCCCACCGCGCTGCTGCTCAGGGATGAGGAATTGCGCCATGCAGCCCCACACCCGCGCCATCGACAAGTCGGGCTTCTGCCTGGTGAGGAGCTGGTACGGCGTCGTCCCCGCGGGCAGTGAAGACCGCTCCAGGCAGTTGCGAACCCAGATGGCCTGCCGCAGAGCGCAGAGCGAGATGCCACCAGTGGTGCTGCACGCCCATGTGCAGCAGCATCGTCCGCACCGACTCCACCACCGTCCTCATCTCCCGCTCCGCCATGCCATTCTGTTGCGGGTTGTAAGGGCAGGTCAAGTCGTGAACGATTCTCTTGCTGTCCACGAAGGCGGTGATGTCCTTTCCGAGGAACTCCCCTCCGCGATCAGAACGAAGTTGCAGCACCGAATGCTTCGCCTGCTGCTCCACCAGCACCAGCCACTTTTGGAACTCCAGCAACACGTCCGACTTCTTGGCGACCGGCCTCACCCACACATAGCGGATCTTGCGATCCTTCAGCAGCAAGAAGTACAGGTTGCCCTCCTTGGCAGCCACGCGAAATGGCCCGCACAAATCGATGTGCACGACGGCCAGGACGTCGTCGGCTTCAGAGCCGTGGTCGGGGAAGGTATGCCGCGCCAGCTTCCTGCCGACGCACGAAACACACGGTGAGTCGGCGCCAGACACCGACTTAAGGTCCAGCCCAATGGCGACCTCGTGCTTCGCCGAGCTCCGTATGGTGTCCATGCCAACATGCGCCAGCCTCGCGTGCAGCCTGTTCGGGGTTGCTTTCGTCGCCGAGACGATCGCCCGCGAAGCCACCTCCTCTTTCGCGGGTGTTGTCGACTTTACCGCGCATGGGCGCAGGTCAGTGCAGAGGACCCGGCCGGTGCACGTCGCGCGACCGAGCACGTCCCCCGCCGCGGAGACGAGCAACATCCGTTCGCCGTCGTACCTCAGCGTCACCCCGCTCTCCTTCAGCTGGCCAGCCGAAAGCAGATTCGCCTGCTCGCCCGGGACGAAGAGGACGTCGGAGATGAGCACCCGCTTTCCGGCCTTCCCCTGCAGAGCAACCGTGCCACGGCCGCGAACGACCTGCAGCGCCCCAAAGAAGCCGCGCACGTGCTTCACGTCGCCGCTCGACCCCAAGTCAACGAAGGCCTCCTTCGTCCCCATCAGGTGGTGCGAGCAGCCGCTGTCGAGCAGGACCACCGCGGAGTTCGCTTGCACAGCTGCCGCCACCGCCTAGGAATCCTCGCCAGCCTCCGGCGCCAGCGAGACGGTCGGCTCCACGATACCGACCAGCGAGCACGACGCCTCCTTGTCGCCTCGCCCTTTACCACCCGCGGAAGAGTCGGCGTCTTTCGCCGACGTCGACTTCGTCGACTGTTTCTCTTTTCGCGGCTGGTTTCCTCGATGCGGACGACGGCTGCCAGACCTCTCCCTTGGTTTCGCCGTCGTCCGAGTCACTGCGGTTGGGACACTCGAAGGAGAGGTGATCGTGATCGCCGCACAGCCAGCATTCCCGACGTCGACCTCCTCCTCCACGACCACCATCCTTGGCCGACTTCTGCTTGTCAGCATCCTTCGCCGGCTTCCCGCCACCGCGGTGACTGCCACCAGACTGCCCGCACTGTCCCAGTCGACCACCTTGCTTCGTGGGGGCGACGTAGTTCACTTGCGCGAGGAGCTCCTGAGACCGCTCAGCCTCCTGCATCGCCTCGTCCTGCAGAATGTACGAGGTCAATGTGTCCTCATTGAGCGTACGACGACGTTGAGTACTCCGCGCCAGCCATCCGAATGGTGGCGAGAATTCGCCGAGCTCGGTTGCAGTTGTCAGGCGCGGTCTCCTCGTCGCCCATACGCAGGTGCGTCAACTGCCCCTCAAGCTGGGCGATGAACAAGTCGTCGGTGACCTGGTAAGTTGACTCGATGAAATGCCACGCCCGGTGGCCAGCGTCGAGGTACTCTCTGCACGACTTCAAGGTGATTTGTACGCCCGGCGAGCGGCACCGCGAAATGACCATGAAGGTCAGCAACTGCACGGCGCGAAATTCCGCTCGCAAGTCGGGGTAGTGCTCCTCCGGCGTCGCCACGGTCCCGCGGGCGAAGCCCATCAGCCCGGCCATCTCCTGCTGGGGCTCGATGGCTTCCTTCCACGTGAGGATGTCACGACGACCGACCAGCGGAGGTGAGACCGAAATCCTGTTCGACGTAAACTTTAAGTAGCCGTACCTCGGCGCAATTTCTCCCGCGGTCACGAGAGTCGCCGACATCGGAGCCAATTCACTTTCTCTGCCTCCGACGTAGTTTCGCGGGGCCCCTGCAGGCGCCGATGACTGCATCCCTCGCGCCTGAACGCCGCCGACTTCATCAGCACGAATCACACCTCGCTGCCTCGACGTGCCTCCCGCGCTGCTACCGACTTGGTCACCCGTGGCGTTGACTCCCGCGTCGACGCCGCCTGCGTTGTTCACCGGTCGAGGAGATGCAGGCCGAGAAAGGGGGTGCTCCGCCGCCCACAAGGCGCGGATGCCAGCCTCGACCTCCGTCAGCGGGAGAGTTCCGTACTCGTTCGCCGCATGACGTCTCTTCGCGTCCTCCAGCCGTGCTTCCAAGGTGTCCACGACGCCCGCCTCTACCACGAGGTCCACCATGGCGTCCAACACAGCCGCCGGTCTACGAACAAACCAGGTGAGTGAAGTCAGCTAAACCGAAGGCTTCTTCGCAGTGTCGTCCACGCTCACCGCACCGTGCGGAGATAACTGGTGCAACGGGAGCTAGATTACGGGCTAGGCACGGGGCAAGAGTGATCGTAGCGGGGGTGATGCTTATGGGGGTGATGCTTATGGGGGTGATCCTTATGGGGGTGATCCTTATGGGGGTGATCCTTATGGGGGTGATCCTTATGGGGGAGATCCTTATGGGGGTGATCCTATGGGGGTGATCCGTATGGGGGTGATGATTATGGGGGTGATGCTTATGGGGGTGATCCTTATGGGGGTGATGCTTATGGGGATCCTTATGGGGGTGATCCTTATGGGGGTGATCCTTATGGGGGTGATCCGTATGGGGGTGATGCTTATGGGGGTGATGCTTATGGGGGTGATCCTTATGGGGGTGATCCGTATGGGGGTGATGCTTATAGGGGTGATGCTTATGGGGGTGATCCTTATGGGGGTGATCCTTATGGGGGTGATCCTTATGGGGGTGATCCTTATGGGGGTGATGCCTTATGGGGGTGATCCTTATGGGGGTGATCCTTATGGGGGTGATCCTTATGGGGGTGATCCTATGGGGGTGATCCTTATGGGGGTGAGCCTTATGGGGGTGAGCCTTATGGGGGTGATCCTTATGGGAGTGATCTTTATGGGAGTGATCCTTATGGGGGTGATCCTTATGGGGGTGATCCTTATGGGGGTGATCCTTATGGGGTTGATCCTTATGGGGGTGATCCTTATGGGGGTGATCCTTATGGGGGTGATCCTTATGGGGGTGATCCTTATGGGGGTGATCCTTATGGGGGTGATCCTTATGGGGGTGATCCTTATGGGGTTGATCCTTATGGGGGTGATCCTTATGGGGGTGATCCTTATGGGGGTGATCCTTATGGGGGTGATCCTTATGGGGGTGATCCTTATGGGGGTGATCCGTATGGGGGTGATGCTTATGGGGGTGATGCTTATGGGGGTGATCCTTATGGGGGTGATCCTTATGGGGGTGATCCTTATGGGGGTGATCCTTATGGGGGTGATCCTATGGGGGTGATCTGTATGGGGGTGATGCTTATGGGGGTGATGCTTATGGGGGTGATCCTTATGGGGGTGATGCTCATGGGGGTGATCCTTATGGGGGTGATCCTTATGGGGGTGATCCTTATGGGGGTGATCCGTATGGGGGTGATGCTTATGGGGGTGATGCTTATGGGGGTGAGCCTTATGGGGGTGATCCGTATGGGGGTGATGCTTATGGGGGTGATGCTTATGGGGGTGATCCTTATGGGGGTGATCCTTATGGGGGTGATCCTTATGGGGGTGATCCTTATGGGGGTGATGCTTATGGGGGTGATCCTTATGGGGGTGATCCTATGGGGGTGATCCTTATGGGGGTGAGCCTTATGGGGGTGAGCCTTATGGGGGTGATCCTTATGGGAGTGATCCTTATGGGAGTGATCCTTATGGGGTGATCCTTATGGGGGTGATCCTTATGGGGGTGATCCTTATGGGGTTGATCCTTATGGGGGTGATCCTTATGGGGGTGATCCTTATGGGGGTGATCCTTATGGGGGTGATCCTTATGGGGGTGATCCTTATGGGGGTGATCCTTATGGGGGTGATCTTTATGGGGGTGATCCTTATGGGGGTGATCCTTATGGGGGTGATTCTTATGGGGTTGTTCCTTATGGGGGTGATCCTTATGGGGGTGATCCTTATGGGGCGATCCTTATGGGGGTGATGCTTATGGGGGTGATCCTTGTGGGGGTGATCCTTAGGAGGGTGATCCTTGTGGGGGTGATCCTTATGGGGGCGATGCTTATGGGGGTGATCCTTGTGGGGGTGATCCTTGTGGGGGTGATCCTTATGGGGGTGATCCTTATGGGGGTGATCCTTAGGAGGGTGATCCTTATGGGGGCAATCCTTATGGGGGTGATCCTTCTGGGGGTGATCCTTATGGGGGTGAGTAGAGTTGCACGACTAGCTGTCTCTGTGAGTTGGCCAAATGACGGGTCGGTTGTCCTTTTGAGGAGCCTCAAACTCACCTTTGTGAATTTACATCTGTTCTGTTCTGTTGAGATCTGTGTGTGTGTGCCACTACCACATCACAGGTTGGTCGATCGGCCAGTCCACTTCACTCACCTGGTTGCTGGCAGCGGCGGCAGGGGGAGGGCGCAGCAGAGCGGCGAAGGGAGCACCTCCTCCCCCACCCAGGCGCCAGGAGAGGGAGGAGAAGAAAGTGGCTGCAGCTATGGCCGCCGCGAGCAGAGGGAGGAGGACGGAGCGAGGGAGCGGAGAGGGGAGGAGAGAGGAGAGGCTGGGAGTACGTGGCGTGGGTGGGGTGGGGATGGGTGTTGAAGCAGAAGCGGTGGGTTTGGTGTTAAGTGAGGGAAATTCTGATGGGTGGAGTGCGGTGCTGTTGTTGGATGCTTGCTGCGGATGTGGGGAGGAAGTTGTTGGGGGAAGAGAAGAGCGAGGAGGGAGGGAGTGGAAGGAGGGAGTTTTGGAGCCATGACAGGGAGCAACAGGAATGGCACGGATTGACAGGGAATGGCATGGAATGACAGGGAATGGCATGGAATGACAGGGAATGGCATGGAATGACAGAGAATGGCATGGAATGACCTGAAATGACAAGGAATGGCATGGAATGGCAAGGAATGACAGGGAACGGCACGGAATGACATGGAATGCCAGGGAGTGACAGGAAATGGCATGGAATGATATGGAATGACAGGGAATGGCATGGAATGACATGGTATGACAGGGAATGGCATGAAATCACTGGAAACGGCTGGGAGTGGAAGTGAAACACATTTGACAAGGACTGAGACGAGCTGAGAGAGAATGCCATTGAAATGGACGCAAGCTGACACGGAATGGCTTGAACTGACACGGAATGGCATGAACGGACACGGAATGGCATAAACTGACACGGAATGGCTTGAACGGACACGGAATGGCATGAACGGACACGGAATGGCTTGTACGGAAACGGAATGGCTTGAACGGACACGGAATGGCATAAACGGACACGGAATGGCATGAACTGACACGGAATGGCATGAACTGACACGGAATGGCCACGAAAAGAGAGCACCTCCTCAGGGCCGTCCGAGGCAGCGCGAGGAGCGACGACGCTTCGCTGGCGACTGCGAGATGCCGAAAAAAACGGAGATGCCAACCTCCTTACTGACGGAGAAGTCCTATTAGTCCATTTCGTGGACAACGCTGAACCTAACGTGGCGATTTTCGCGACATTGTGAGCGACACTGTGTACGACATTGTGTGCGACTGGTCGCCGGCGATGCGAGATCACGGCGTCAATGCCTCGTATTGAGTTCTGCACCGTAACGACACGCGGACGCGCGAGAACCGACTCCATGGCGACCCGAACCTCTTATAACCGACTAATGTTGCCAGCAGTGTCCGGGATCCACAGAATATTAAATGCGAGTAGTGATAATAATAATCAGCGTCCGGAGCAGGAAGCTGCACGTGGTACGGTACAAGGCACTTCCTGGCGCCTGGCAGACAAAGGGATCGAATGCGGTGCGTTGCTGCAGCGCTTCAGACTACTCGCTGCATCTGTTAGTTACCACGACGCACTCTTACTTCCTACCTCTCAACTGAGGCACGAAGATATACGCTGATGCAGCGATTTCCCTGATCGCATTCAACAGCCAGCGTCAGTATTGCCGTTGCCGACTGAGCCAATGTCAATGGCTGGCCGACGTCTGAAGGACCGCTGTTCAAGGGGAGTGAAAGAGGGAGGGTGTAGTGCAGTGCTTCTCAGATCAAGTGCGGTTAGTGGAGATGTGAATATGTTCGGAGAATTTTCAGTACGGTTGTGGAACATGCTTTTTGGGGCAGAGCGGTTTATTTGGATTCCAAACAGTTGAAGAGGGGTAAATGTCCTTTTGAGAGTGATGTGATGGAGGGGACGATTTGACAAGACCAGAAATCAGCGGGATAGACTAGGATATTTCTCTCTTTTGCAGCAGACGTCCGTTCCATTTAGGAAATGAAAATGATTCTTAAAAATGTTGAAAGAAGCAAGCATTATTTGAACATGAGGGCCCCCAAATGTGAGAGCTACAGGTCAAAACAGTTAGCCTCATTACGGCTCCTCCACTTCTACCCACAACCTTCTGTGATCAGGCAGGCTCATGTAGGCTGCTCCCTGCGTTTCCACTGATGATCATACACCACACAATCATGACTCATGAATCATGATTCATCATGACCACACCCCTTCCACGCCAAGGAAGCCCATGTGGACTTGGTTGCTCCACCCCTACCCAAGCACGCTCTTTGGTGTCACAATACCCTTCCGTAGTCAAGGTAAGTATGATATCAAAGAAGCGACTGTCTTCACGGATGTGATGATGAGGAGACACGAGTGGTAGAGGAGGAAGCAGAGGATGAGAGCTCCAACGGTGTCTTCGTGGGTAGTAAGATAGCAGAAAACAGCAAACGGATTATAACACAGTGACAGGCATGGTTAAGGAAAGATTGGGTACACTGAAGGTGAGACGAGAACCAAAGGAGCCAGGCGAATTAGAAAGAAATGTATGAGTGGGAAGAGATAAAAGTTGGAGGAAAGAGCGTGTGTAAGAAAAAGGGGACTGGAAAGGCAGGATTTGCTAGAAGTTGGGTTGACATTAAGAAAGCATAAATGTAGGAAAGGCATGATGCAATGCAAGAGGGAAGCAAAGAAGGAGTAAGGGTTGGAGAGAGCGGTTTAAGTGGGTTCGAGGGGGTTAAAAGGGCTGCTTAACCGCTGAGAGGATACTGACTAGGAGGACCTCCCACCAGTCCAGGATGTAGAGGCCAAAGGTCACATTATACAGGGTGATCTTGCCGTTCACCCATGTTACTAATTGCCTCCAAGCCGATCGCTGTTGATGGTGTCGTCTCTGCGCTTACACGAACGACATGGAAGATCACAAAGAAGCGTGTAAAGTTACTGCGAACAGGCTGATTACCTGGAAGCCTAGCATGCTGGTAAGGTTACAAGCCTTTTCCACCAATCATGGGAATGAGGATGGTGAGCGCATGTAAGCCATAAGCCGTCATGGTATGTAGCACATGCACTTTAACATTGCAATGACGTACCGCGAGAAATTCCGCGTGGGCTTTGAAAGCGTTTCTGTCTTCCTCAGGAATCTCGTCTTCACTAAACGCACTTGCTAATCGTTCTATGGATTCCGCTGCCATATTTCCCTAATCTAAGAACACCGATCACGCCGCTACAAGTAGCTACGCGCTGAGGTCGCACGACACGAACAGCCTCGGATCGCAGCCGTCAGCAGGCGAACAAACTGTGACGGCCAGAATTCGTCACACGGTGCAGGAATTCCGTTCTAATGGTCGCGCTTTTGAGATTTTGTTCTAAAAATCGCGCTCTGGCCGCCTATTCTTAGCACCAAAAGCCGCTTGGCGCCATGAGCATGACCTCTTCGAGCTCTTCGCTTCAACTCCGCTGAGCAAGACCGCAGCTTGCCCGACTCAGCGAGGTCATTTGCCGGTACGCTGGTAAGAATACCCTATAAAGCTCTGAGGAATATTACATTGACCATGGGCGACCGGCTTCGGGAGTACGGTCACTATGACGCGACAAGCCGAGCGTGCGTGGCTGACCGTTTCAAAGCTGCTGCTATGAGATAACTCGAGCTTAGGTGAGGAGGAATCTATAAGCTGACTTGTGTGATGCGAACAACAAAGCAGGACAGAGGTGATATCAGGCAGGATATTCGCGTCATAAGAGCATCCAATATGCTACTGTACTTAGCTTCTCAAACCTCACTTAGGCAAAACAAGTTCGGGGTGATCACTCATAAAGTCTGACTAAGCTAGGCTCGGCAATTCCAAAACCAGCTGAGTGTGGTTTCACACATTTGGTCGCCGTAACGTAATGAACGGTTCAGTACCTTTCGACACGGTAGAGAACGGGCTGCAAATGATGTTGAGAATATATTTGTATGCTTTAATTATATGTGCAGTGTTCGAAGTCTGTTTACAGGGGCTTGCCATAGCGAGGAACTTGAACCTGGTGGCGAGTCAACGGGCCGCAACCGAGCACAGCGGTTGAGACCCACGTGGCAACTCAAGAATCGAATCGACAGCAGGAGTCATAGTCTACAGTACGCGAAACTGATTTGTAGGGCGCGGCAGGATACCGCGCCCTTGCCGAAGCAAAAAGTCTCGCCAGCGCGACAGTAACAAGGCAACCCAAGCGACGCAGCGCAACTGTTATACAGTTGGGCCTTGGTAACAGAATGTAATGCCTTGCTCATATTACACAATTCTCAAACTTGTGTCCGGCCAACCCTCGGCCGCTGCTTTGGCACCACGTTACAAGCCAGGAAAGCTACCTCTGAGTGACCAATAGCCCCGCCGTAGGGACGTCGTTAATTCCTCGAGCTTCCGCTGCGCTCTAGCGACTTCTTATTTACAACAAATGATATGAAAACTAGACAGGGGGACCATTCGAACAAAGCCTCGTACTCGCTATCCAAACGTTTTTCTTCCGTTCGGTCACGCGGCTGTGTGTGTTTGGACCTATTACCAAGCCAGCAAGAGTGTGGGAGGGTGTCGAGCATGATCGGTCATTGGTAGTGGCGAATAAACCATGCCTGCTGCATTTTCTGCACATATGCGGGTCCTTTCGCGTTTTGGGAATGAAAACGCTTGTTCCGAGCGTTTTTTTTTTTTTTTCTGTTCGGTCACACGGCTGTGTACAGTTGGACATATTACCAAACCAGCAAGAGCGTGGGAGGGTGGCGAGCATGATCAGTCATTAGTCCTGGCGAATGAACCATGTCTGCTGCATTTTCTGCACATGTGCAGATCCTTCCGCGTTCTGGGGATGAAAACGCTCGTTTCGAGCATTTTTCTTCCGTTTCGTCACGCGGCTGTGTTCGTTTGGACCTATTACCAAGCCAGCAAGAGCGTGGGAGGGTGGCGAGCATGATCGATCATTGATACTGGCGAATGAACCATGCCTGCTGCAATTTTCTGCACATGTACGGATCCTTCCGCGTTTTGGGAATCAAAGCGCTTGTTACGAGCCCTTTTTTTCCGTTCGGTTATGTGGCTGTGTGCCTTTGGACCTATAACTAAGCCAGCAAGAGTGTGGGAGGGTGGCGATCTCAAAAGAGTAGATTAATCTTAGGCGCCATGGCTAGGTTTTGAGGAAAACGAGAGTAGCGAGGGAGAAGTTGTACCAACAAAAAAGGGGTGATTCAATATTGAGCGAGGGTACAAATAGGAAAGAACAAACAAGAAAGGTGCACCACCAACTAAGAGAATGCTATAACTACAGTAACCAATCCTACAGGCAGTTACATATAGAAAATATTAACTTATATTTTCCGACACGCCCCCATAACTGACTGTAGGAGAGTATGCAGTCAGCGCACCCTTAAGGGGTACATCACGATTACACAGCGGAAATTGCAGCAACAAACAAGTGCAGTGACAACCATTGCAGTGGTGGCAGATCCAGCTGTAGCACACCCTGGGCCAAGGTAGAAACAGTAGTAGGTGTAAGGGCGGCAGGTCGCCTGAGGAGCAGGCTCTGTGGCTGCAACGTGCAGCAGGACAGCAGCGGCTCGACGGCAGCACCTGCAGGCCCCTAGCAGCAAGCAGCAGAAGCAAAGGCAAAAGAGGCAGGTGGCAGCAGGGGCGGCAGCTGGAGGTGCCACGGTAGCAGTGGGCGTCAGCAGCAGATGCCCGGCTGACTTCCGCCACCCCCTCTCACCCTCCCCCCCACAGCTGCAAGCGCGGCAGTGAGAGAGAGGGGAGGGGGGACGGCTGTTGGTGCTGCAAAATCTCTCTCGCAACCCCCTCACACTCCCCCCCATCCCCCACAGCGACCGGCGCTGCAGGGAGAGAGAGGAGAGAGGAGGGCGTCGGCGGTTTCCTGCGGGTGCGCTCCCGCCACTCCCTCACCCTCCCCCCCACAGCGACAGTCGCGTATGGGGCGATAAAGGGCGACAGCAGGTGCTGCTGGCGGCTCACAGCAGCCACCCCGTCACACCACCTCCCCCACTGCCCGCCACACCTTCGACCTCCCCCCACAGCAGGAGCACGCACTACAGTAGCAAGTGCGACAGCTGCAGCGGGACCCGGGGGAGGGTGGGCGGGGATAGTTGCTCGAGCGCGACGAGCGGGACAGAGGGCCGAAACGGAGGCGAGACGAAGCGGCGACGAGGCAGCGTGGCCGCGTACAACGGGGCGACTAGGCAGCGCGACAAGCAGAGCTCTGCCTTCGCCTCCTCGATCGCGCACGCGATTATGACCGTCGCGGATTTCAACGCAACGGTCATACTGGCAGCACGATCGCAGCAGAAAATCGTTGGGAGGGAGGGCCGCCATGACAGGGTCAAAAATCGGTGGGCCCATTGATCGAAAACTAGCTCGATACCATCTCAAAAGAGTAGATTAATCTTAGGCGCCATGGCTAGGTTTTGAGGAAAACGAGAGTAGCGAGGGAGAAGTTGTACCAACAAAAAAGGGGTGATTCAATATTGAGCGAGGGTACAAATAGGAAAGAACAAACAAGAAAGGTGCACCACCAACTAAGAGAATGCTATAACTACAGTAACCAATCCTACAGGCAGTTACATATAGAAAATATTAACTTATATTTTCCGACAGGCGAGCATGATCAGTGATTAGTACCGGCGAACGAACCATGCCTGCTGCATTTTCGGCACATGTGTGGATCCTTCCGCGTTTCGGGAATAAAAATACTCGTTACGAGAGTGTTTCTTCCGTTCAGTCATGCGGCTGCGTGCGTTTAGAGCTATTACCAAGCCAGCAAGAGCGTGGGAGGGTGACGAGCATGATCGGTCATTGGTGCTGGCGAATGAACCATGCCTGCTGCATTTTCTGCACATGTGCGAATCCTTCCGCGTTTTGGGGATAAATACGCTCGTTTCGAGCGTTTTTCTTCCGTTCGGTCACGCGGCTGTGTATGTTTGGACCTATTACCAAGCCAGAAAGAGCGTGGGAGGGTGGCAAGCATGATCGGTCATTGGTAGTGGCGAATAAATCATGCCTGCTGCATTTTCTGCACATGTGCGGGTTGTGAGGATCTAGGATCGAGCTCAGAAAAGAGAATGTGAATTGAATAGAATTGAATGATCACCTGGGTACAACATCAGGCTATATATAGGCTCGGCACAAGGCCTTGTAACCAGGTGTTACGCGAAGGTTCCGCGGGTCGCGAAGCGTCCCGAACAGATCCTTCCCGAATTCGGTAGAAGGCAATTCGGTGGCAACCGAAAAGCCAGAATTCGGTGCACTCAACCTAGCTCGGTGCTATAACTATAATAAAATATAGGAAAGCACCTAGCCTAGGAAATCAAGCAATTCATGCATGCATATAATTATCCTATGCTAGAAATAGCATGATGAAGTAAAGACAAGCAAGCATAGCTGTCATAAGCCGTCGTACTCTCACACGTCCCCCCCTCAAAGATGGGTTGCGTGAGATACACCCTGCTTGACAAGATAGTCCTTGAGAGCACGGCGTGCGTTGCCCATATCAGCTTCTGCAACCCAACTGTCCTTAGTGGGGTTGTATCCCTTCTAGCGTATCAGGAACTCGAGGGTCTTGCCGCCGCGGCACCGATGAGTGACAACGCGCTCCACTTCGTACTCTGGTTCATCCTGTACGAGAAGCGGTGGTGGTGGCGGTAGCTGCCGTCCCTGGAACTGTTGGTTGGGGTCCTTGTAGGGCTTCAGTAGCTGAACATGGAAAGCGTTGTAAAGCTTCCATGTATCTCGTAAGCGCAAGCGGATTGTAACTGGTGTCACCTGTGCCTCAACGATAAAAGGACCACAGAAGCGAGGCCGGAGTTTGGATGGGAGGTTTGACAGGTTCAAGTTGCGCGTGTCAAGAAGCACCTGATCTCTTACTGCTACTGAGTGATCATGTCGCTGACGATCGGCATACTGCTTCTGAGAGGTCTGCATCGTGGTGAGTCGTCGCTGAGTCTTATCCCATAGCTGCTGCATGGTGGTGACGAAGTCATGTGCGGCCTGGACGTGTGACGGTGTGGTTGGCTGCTGTGGTGTGAGTGGTTCCCGTCCGTAACACAGGAAGAAAGGAGTTTTCCCTGTAGCCGCATGTGATGCGTTGTTGTAAGCGAACTCTAGGGTCGGTAATTGTGTGTCTCAGTGGCTGACGTTGTCCTTGCAAGCTGTGC